AAAAGTCAAAATAGCTTACATTTCAGGTTCTGCTTAAGTATTGTATGATCTACAAACTAGCTTGTAATTGTGATAGAAGCCATAAATCTCGTAACAAAACTGAGACATGATCGAAAACTAAGAAAAAAGACTCAGAATCACAGAGGATGAGCTTTTGTTGATTTATGTTGTGTTTCAGTCACTTGCAATTGGGAGTAGAGATACAGGATGGTTGCCATGTACATGAAAATTTTAGAGGCTCTGGTCGAAAAAAAAAAAAAACTAGGCGGTTGTCGATCCATAATTTTCGTTATGCTATTGTTGAGATTTTTAGTTACAATATCCATAGACTCCGAAACTGACCATTCGACATTTGCATCATCGTAAGTAACACTAACAACGTTATATTCCGTTACAGTGGCAAGCTTTCATTAATTCTGTTACGACAAGTTATTCTTAAGGTTATCCTAAATAAAAAGTAGCTGAAATGTCTTTGTTACAGGGCATGAAAATGTTACATACAGATAACATAATATTAATAATAAAACTGTTGCTTTCTCTTAACTTGTTCTCTGCTTTTCCTACACGAGTCAACTCGAGACGAGGTTCGAAAGCTGATAAAATGCGGTGAAAGAAAACCGCAACTGTCAGATTAAGTGATCCAGTTTAAGGAATTGGATAATCTCAGAGAATAGTTCAAGAGCCTCGCGTTCATTTAAAGGTGGAGAATAATCTGGTTTGATCAATCTCACTAACTCTTCTATATCCTCGTTATGGTCGACACAATTCTCAGCATACATCTCTTTGCACAGATTTACATCTTCGATGTAGACATTTACCAAGTAGTTGTGTGTTCCATAGATTTCGGGTGTAAAAGACATGACGTCTGGTTTTCCACCCTCCACTTCCAGTCGTTGTAGTCGCTGAATGTTATGCGTATTCCACAACTCTGCTACAAGATATAATTCCTGGCGAAGGATAGGCAAGAAAAAAAATGAGACATTCCGTGACGAGGTAATCGTCATGGTACAAACCACAATCACAGAGGTCTTTAAAAAAGTTTATCCACCATCCCCCTCCACCCTGTCGAAATTTAGACCACCAAGCTTCTATGCGTTGATTTCCGGTGCTTTTTGCTTCGATGAAACTTCCACTTCCAGAAAAATGGTCATCGTCATGCCAACGAAAAAATTGTTGAAGAGTGCCAATGATTGTGTTTTGGGTTCCCCTGTCACAGCGCATCCTTCTTGGAACCCCTCCAAGTTGTAGAATAGCATTTAGGTAGTTTGAGGCAATAACCCTGGGATTTTTGTTCGTGGAACCGACTTCTAACCAAAGAATTCGCCTTGAGAAGCCGTCTACTGCGCCATGAACAAAAAAGCCTAAGGGCGCAGGCTTATCCCATCCGTTAACGTGCCATAAGAAGTTTGGCCCTGAGGTGACGTATCTGCGTCTCTTTGGATTACGTCTTTGACGACGCTCCACTCCTTCAGGGTCTAAAACCCGAAGGGCTTTCATAACAGTATCTCTTCTTACTTGTAAATTGTACTTTCGCCTTAAGCGCCTCGTCAGTTGACGATAGCCCAGAAAGGAACCACAGGAGTTCTCCAATTCTTCCAGAATAGCAGCCACTATTCGCTCAAGGGGCGATTCGTTGTTGTATCTCGCCCTTGTAAGTTCCAAACGTTGTAAAATTCGTTTTAAAGTACGCACTGAGAGTACTATGCCATGTTGTAAAGCTAAAAAGCCAGTAATTTCAGCGTTGGTAAATCCTTCAGAGAAGTAGCGTCTGACTGCATTTTCTCTCTCAAAGCCAGAGTGTTTGTTTAAAGCAGGTGTGTAGACAGGTAAAACGCTCTGCACTAGACATAGCGTGTTTAGAAGGAAGATAAGATGAAGCAACCTGTTTCAGAACATAGTTAACGTTAATTAAAGTACCATTCACTCGCGTCTTAAATAGAATGATTAAAACAAGTAAGGATCAGGGACTCTTCACTCACCGAAACATGATGACGCACACTTACGGATTCCAAATGTTTTTTTCACGTTTGGAAGACTGCCTGTTAATCTATAAGGCACTACATGGGGAATCCCCAACGTATATTGAAAGTACTTTAACTACAAAACACTCCCTGCATGGTAGAGAGACCAGGCATGGCCAGTATAACCTAATCTGTCCCAAGTATCAAAATACTACTGAGGCAGGAAGGTCTTTCCAAGTTAGTAGTATTAAGTTATGGAATAGTCTTCCAAATGAGCTTAGGAAAGAACGTAGCATCTCCTCTTTTAGGAATGATTTCATGAATTATTTTATAAATTCTTATAGAGACGTTGATTCTTTTGAAGCTGTATTATAATCTAGTTTTATGGTATTTATAATCTTTGAATAGTTACATTGTTCGACTAGTTAGTTCTATTTTTAATCTCTATGGCTTAGAATGTATTACTTACTAACTTTAGTTTTGAGGGCCACTGGTTTATAAGCGCAAGCTGTTATGTGTATACCCTCTTTAAATAAAGTCGATTGTTATTATGATTATTATTATTATTACTATTATTATTATTATTATTATGAGGACAAAATTCTGAAGTCTGAAGTCTGAAGTCTAATTTCGTGAACTGTGAAGGCTTAAATCTTCAACTCTCCAGTCACCTTTATTAAGTCTGAAGTCTGAAGTCTGAAGTCTGAAGTCTGAAGTCTCTTCTCGGCTTTTGTAGATACCTGTATCTAGTTAGCATGATAACAAAGAAATTTGCATTTGAAAAGCAGCAACATCTCTATCATAACAAGGTCACCCTTAGCCTCACTCCTGTTCAAAGGTTTGGCCACCAAGCCCACAACTGTAAAAAGGACTATTCAAAGATTGCAGCTACCAAAAGAAACTTTTATAATAGAGTATTAGGAACTTCAATCATAAGTGATGAGCAGGATCTACCGATTTGAGATGGCAAAAACTCGCACATTGTCGCACACCACAAACACAGAAACGTTGTGTGAGTTACAAATTTTGTAAATTGTTATTCCTGTGAAAGGTCTCAGCTTCCTGCACAGCTCTTTCTAATTCTTTCTTCTTTTCATCGAATGGATGACCATTTCCACCCATCACGATAATAGGCTGTGTACGATACGGTTGTATTTTCTCAACATTCAGCAGGTGAAAGATAATACGGTCCACTTCCTTTGGCAACTTGTGACTCCAGCGAGAAGAAAGGAATTCTGGAATATTTTTCTTGGTTCCGCTACAGGAAAAGAACGCGGGAATGAATCTGTGCACATCGGGATTCTGAGCAATCTGTCCTCGTATGAGATTTAATTGACATCTGATGTTCAAGGCTAGAAAAATAAGAGTACCAGATAGAGTTACAAAAAACAATGCATTTATGCTGAAAGTATATACCTAGCAAATGCCAGAAGTTGTTTCCGCTTTTCTTACGAGCGTCTTGTCCTTCTTCACATTACGTTCTACTTATGAGAGGTTAGGAGAATTTCAAAAAATACTTTAGGGCCTTGGAAATGGCTTGAAACTACCTCACATTTGTAGTTCAATGAGATAGATGGAAGGATTCATTACGTCTAGTATTATATGTCACAGTCAATTAAAAATATGTCATTAGCAGTATCAGGAAGAGGAGTGGTTTAGTAAAAATACACTTGCACCAATTTGGAGTTTGATGTTTTTCAAAGTTTAAATTTTTTAAGTTCCTGAAATAAATCTAACAACTCTTTTCTAGAGTACAAATGAGACAATTGCACAGTAACCTACGTAGAAATTAATTTTGCTATAAGTAGAGTGGACATAATGATTTCTTACTAAGTTAGAGGCTTGAATGAGATGCAATGAACATATGAAGTTCAGATATTTAGAGGCTTGAATTGCAGATAACGTCAATTGATTTTGAGATGTTTCAGCGACGTTCTATACTATGGGTTTGTCCATAACATGGACCCATAACATGGGTTTGTCAGGTATCGTTCTTATGAGGAAAACTTTACAAACACGATCAATTTGAATTTCATTAATTGTGAAAGACACATCAAAGTTTGGCCGTTTACTTTTGTTTTGTTTTGTTCTGAACATAATAAAATTTGACTTTTATGTTAACTGGCTTTTAAAAATCGATTGCTCTCATGTGTGTTAGTAAGTGACGAAGAAGGTCATTCACTGGTACTGTCTCTCGGTCTGTACGACTGTCTATCTGTTACTCTTCGGAAACCTCAGGAAGTAAAACTAAAAACACCTCGACATTTTCCAGAGTACTATCAGTCAAAATTTACCCTCAGAACGCGAGTTTTGTTCTAAATAATGGATGCGGTTTAATGAAATACTACATTTCATAAAAAGAAGACCTCGAGTTTTGTGTTAAAAAACGTAGCCAGTAACCATATGTCCATCCAAAGGATATTTGCTTCGGATGTTGATATGGATATGGAGCGATCCCTGAGGTACTCCACATTTAATGAATTTTGATGAAGAACTATATGCACTTAATGGTACAGACTAAGATATAAAAGAAAAGCAACTATAATTAGTCCACATTTAAGTAATAACACTAACTCCTTCAAACTATAGTACAGAGAATAAGATCATGAGTGTGACTGACGCCGTCAAAGACCACAGATATGACAGACCTAATGAACATTTCTTTGATCAATTGTACCTGGCACTGTACAGGCAGTTAAATTGTTTACCTTAAGACGTATTAAATACAACAAATGCATTCTAAGACAGCAACTTCTATACTGTAAATAAAGAGAGGTCACCCCATAAAAAACAGGAAGAACTCTTGTTAACAACACCAAGAACGAACACTTTACACAATTAATATGCTTGCTGATTGTGATTAAGTCGTTTCTGAGGATCTGGTAAGAGACTGTGGCAGATGGAGTATCCGTGAGAACTATTTGAGTCAACCAAAGGAAAAAGATACTTCATATTTCTCTGCCAATGATAATTAAGACACGCATTTTCATGAGAAAAGTATCCAACGGGAAATCAATCCCGGGAAATCAAACGGGAAATCAATTTTCCAGCGAAGCAGCATAAAAACTTGTTCCATTTTCAACCCAACTCGGATTTTGCTGTGCACTATAAAAATAAGCTTTCAATTTGACCATCGTGAATTTCCAACACGCAAGCAATATTTGCGATATTGTACAGAATAGTATTTTTAGTTATGACCGAAAATGAAAAAATTAAAAGCTACAGGAATCTCCTCTCCCAAACGTCAAAATGTATTTCGTTGGGGTATAACAGGCTGTAGAGCTAAATGGACTAAATAGCCCAATAGGCCTGCCTTCATAACCTCACGCAAAATAAAGGCGTTGCTGCAACCGTCGAGTTACGGAAAACACATTGTTTTACTCCGTGCTGATTGTTTCACTCCGTGATGCACGTAGTAAGGTATGTCAAAGCAAATTTGGTTGTTCCGAACCCACAAAAAAAGACATCTTCCTATTTGTGAAAGTTTAATTTCAAACTTGGCGTATATTTGGAGGGTTTCGTTTTGAGTGCAAACTCTGTCATAGATGGGGATGAAAGTTTTCGAACCACCCAAACCATTTAAGTAACTATCCTATAGACAAAGAAGAAAGAAGGAATGGAGTAACACTTACGGTCATCTCCTTCATCCGAAGCGCTGTGACATCTGACTGACATTTTGTGGGAAGCGAGAACGACGACACAGTGTGAATTCTTTACTTGGTCTTCATACCAGCGGGGAACATTGGGTGCTATATCCAATGTATTCCACATATCTATACTAGCCTCAATCAGTTCCGTAGAATTTAACACAGCACCAAAACAGTGAACTACATGATTACACTTCTCGCAGCATCTGGTGTACATGACAAAAACTCGTTTCTTGTCTGAAAACAAAAGTGTAAAAAACGAAAAAGCAGAATAAAGGTTATTTCTGATGTTAAAGGGATTCCTGTCTTTTTAACGCACACCCAGGGAACTTCCGTTGGTGTGGGTTAAGTAGACGATGACCGTCTTTGACAGGGTACAGTAAACTGCACAATGCTGACATGCTTAATTTTCCATCTGTGTTAGGTCTATTCAGGGCATTCCCTTGATACAGGCTTCACTGCCTTTCGTAGTATCTGTATTCTTACATAATATAAATGATGGAACATCACTGCCTTTCGTAGTATCTGTATTCTTACATAATATAAATGATGGAACAGAGAATAAACTCTGAAGCGTAAATTAAAGTGCAAATAGAAACCCGTGAAAAACCCACTGAGTGTTAGCCCTAGTAAAGGGTATACGGGAACCACACGGGTAAATAAAAAATTCTTGTGACCTCGGTGGGAATCAAACCCACGACCTCCTTACATAATATAGTTACTGTATCAGAAGTTAACTGTGAAAATAACTCTCAAAAAAGAAACAACAACTTTGAGTTTAAATTTACAAGACATGCTTCGACATTCTCATGTCATCTTCAGTTGCAAATGAGCATTTAACGGTTGTACATTTGAATTTATATTAAGGTACGTTACAAATTACGTGTCAGGGCTTACGTTCCATTTGAATGTTAAAAACGCAAAAAATGTAAATAGCGCGCGCTTGGCTAGATAAAAAAAAAACAAATTATAATAATAATAAAAAAGAAGACCAAGGAACAACATAATTAAAAGGAAAGAGACAATTCTAGATGCTTCAATTGCTGATTAAGAATGGGTTTTTCCCACTTAATATGCAATGCCTTTTTGATCTTAATTTGGTATTTTGAAGCGGCAGAATCTAAGATCGTGAAACATTGAGTATCAGAAGAGTCAAGACAGGCCCTTGATGATTGCAGGTGCTTGTAAATATGCGAAGTTTTGTCCGACAAGAGGTGCTCACGAACTCGTGTACAAATGTGGCGAGTGGTCTCACCAATATAACTGACATTACAGCCAGCACATGAAAATTTATATATGACACGCGAACGTAGACCTAGCGGTACTGAATCTTTCACACTGAACATGTTTCTGAGTTTAAACGTACTGAAGACTAACTTAATATCTAAATCAGCTCTACAATAACGTTTGAGTAGTTGTCTTAACTTAGTCTGAGCGATGTTCGAAAACTGACCAACATAGGGAAGTTTATAATGTGCGAAGAAGGTTTACCGGAGTTAGAAGAGGCGTTCTGCCCAGTAGGAGAATGATTATTTTTCTTCGCTAGATACCTTGTCTATGACCCAAGATGGAAAACAATTTTTCCGTAGCAAGAAAATGAGTTTCTTGACATCCAGATGAAAACCAACCCAGGAATTATTGATCTTATATGCTCTGTCAATCAATGTTCTGACTAAACCTAATTTGTAAATCAAAGGGGCAAAGCTGAAATAATTAGTAAGAAGACCAATAAACATCTTCTTGCGATATACACTAGTGACGATGGATGTATGACTGTTGTCTAACAATATGTCTAGAAACGATAATTTCTAAGTTAATAAGTTAACTGTGCCAATCGTCAAATCCAAATACACATCGTTGCCCTCAAAATTCTTTTTAAACTCAACCTGTTTAGCCAACGCCTATTCCCCTCAAGGAAGAAAACGCGGCGGAGGCACATTCCCACTCTCCTCACGGTCCAGCCACTAAAATGTCCCAAAATGGGTTAGTACACAGGCTATATAAAGGTGGGTAAAGATTGTAAGCCTTCATAGAGTTTATCACCCCTTACCAAATAGCACAATTAGAATGGGATGTGGCATACTACATACCTGACTCGAGCAAAGGATTATTTAGAGGAGGCCTGGGAAGGGGGTGATCTGGAAGTTTGATACGTACTGCAAAAGAAGAGATTAGATTTCTTTTTAAAAAAAAGAACAAGTTTTTCAATAAATTAAACAACATTTGATGACACACTGCATATAATGAAATTTAGTTTGCTTCAAAATTCATACCTTGCCAAAAGAATATTCTGTACATCACAAGTAGGGAACAAATAAGAAGTCCGAGGAAAGCACCCAGAACAGCTATGAAGAGTTTTTTAGAAGCATCTGATTGCTTCACAGCTTCAAATATAAAATAAAAGAGTCACATTCAAATATTCCTGGACGCAGACACTTAGTTATTAAGAGTAGGCAAAAGGAGGCAAACTTTTTCGATACGCTGCAAAGGTGGAGTTTTGCCTCTTAGTCAACCAATCAGTCAACCAGTTTGTCAACCAGTCTGGTTGACTGGCTGGCTGACTGACTGAATGGTTGACTAATTTGCTGACTGACTGGCTAACTGACTGATTGACAGACTTGCTGATTGACTGATTAACTGACTGGCTTAACTAACTTGCTGACTGACTGGCTGACTGATTGGTTGACTTACTAGTTGACTGAGTGTTAGCCATTTGGACAGGAGGGCTTCCTGCTAGATTATTTGAATTTGAGACTAACAGTCAGTGGGCTCTTTTATGCCACAGCCATCTTGGCACGAAAGCGAGGTTACTAACGCATGACATCCACGCTGGTGGCCTATCATTACTGTGTTCCACTGAGTGTCGATGATTCCCGAAAGAACATGAAGTATCATTTTACAGCTTTCCATCAAAACCAAAAGGGCATATGAGTAGGTTGTCAAGATTCCCCGAGACCCAAGAGGCAATTGTAAGGGTTGTTTACCATAATATTACTTCAGGCTTTATCAGAAAATGGCCAGCACTTTAGTTTTAATCTGAACTGGTGTCGAGAGTTTCTCCTCAAATATTCCTGGTACTTGATTTTTGTACAAGACCAAAGAAATGTACTCGACCAGCGAGTACCGATAAGTAACTTGTTTGTTCTACTCATCCCCAGTATCACAAGCTTAAACGTTAAACAAACGTTTGTTCTGCGTACTTTAAGGCCAGTGATATATAGAAACTTCGCTATTTGTGGAAAGATTTTGCTGGTGTCCTTTGTTGTGGCTTCAGTCTTTCCTTTTACAACAGATGCATATTTAAGACCCTTCCATCGAAAATGATAAATCAATAGGCTACCGCAACAGATCAAAACTCAAGAGAACTTGACCCTTTGAATATTTACTTTTCATGAAAGTACATTGTTCTTAATAACTCGATTTAGATTAATTTTTTCTTTTTTTTAAAGTGCTAATTAAAGTCATTCACTTTCATTATAGAAGAAAAGCTTGACACGGAGTAACCTTAAAGCTCTACGTGGTCAAGGGAATCGTTTTTACTTGAATGAAATATAATGTACGCAGGACCTGCCCCTAGGTGCGGAAACCGGCGGCTGGGTTGATGACGAATCCTGACCACCTGACAATGACACGACTGTCTCTGCATATGTTACAGCAACAGTGCCTTTATTGTCCAAACCATACTTCATACCCTCTGTTTGACTGACAAGTTTTATTTGTTCCATTTCGAAATGAGACAGGTACATGTTCTCTCCTGAGCTCATGCCAAATGGGGTTCTTTGTCTAATCTGTTTCTTTTTTTAATTTGCAAAGACTCCATGTTATGTGTAACCCTGTATGATAAATTTCCTTATTTAGTGAAAGGACTGTCATAAGTGCGGTATAGATATGATGCTTATTGACATGCCAGGAAAGTCTCTGGACTAGGTGATGGTTTTTAGGAGGGAAGACTGAGTACCAGGCTTTGGCTGACATGAGACTTTCATTGGGAACTAAACCAACCTTCTTTCTGCATATGAATAAAGACTGATAGTTTCTAAAGAAACTGTTTGGGGCTGCGTCGGTGGGGGTAACGAAATAATTAATTAATTTCGCTCTGACGAAGGGCTAACGTTCGAAACGTCAGCTTTTGTAATCGTTACCGTGGCCAATTTACCATTTCAACTTTGTTGATATATCCAAATTATTTCATTCTGCATAGGTACCAAAAAAAGGAAAAAGGCTTAAAACCTGAGTCTCTGGGAACTGGAAAATAATTTGCACTGAAAATCGTCAATGAAGTTTTTAGAGGAAGAGCAGATGTTACAAGGTTAAACAGGCTACTTTTAACTCCTGACAGAACGTTTCTCCTTCATCTATTTTAACCCAGGCTTTCTCAGGTAAATTTGCTGCTACTCTAGCTGGTCTCAGATGGTGCCATTCCTACGCTCACAAAAGCTTCGACATCTTTCACACCAGTTTTTGGAAGCGGTTCAAGAGCAAGAGACCATGCAATAATCAGCAGTTTTACTTCCAGACATTTGCTAGTTATGCACCATGTTGGATGTCACGCGTTTCAGCCTCACTTTTGTGCCAAGATGACAGCCACCTGAGAAGTGCAGTCGGATATGTGGTCCTAAACAAGACTATTTTCGGTAACAGAAACGGAAATGTCCTTCACCTGATTAGAGTTAATCTTCAGAGGCAAGGAAGAGGTGGACAAATATTATATGTAAAATGTACATGTAGGTTTCATAAAAAAATATTCGTCAGTTTTGCCTTGTTTTATTACTCAAGTAGCCCAACTTGGTTGACTGATCGCTTTCGATCCGTTCACGACTCAGCTCTTTGGTTAGGTTAATGTCGCGAGTGATTTTGGGAGCCGATTTTTTTTTTCTAGGGTGCAGGTAGTTTTTACTTCTTTTGAGAGAATTTAGCTCACCTGGTTGCCCATACTACAAAATAGAAAGAGAGGATGAAGTCAGAAATCATCCCCATAATTACTTTAAATTACTTCAAAACGATCCAGAGACAAGCACTATCTTTTCACAGCCTCCGCTCATTTCATTCAAACGCGACAAAAACATATGCAATTTTTTGGTCAGAAGTTCTTTGCAGACTAATGACCAACCAGGCACTTTTAAATGCGCTCGTGCACGATGCAAAACGTGTCCTTTCATTCACAACACTGATAAAATATCGGGACCTAAACGATCCATTAAGATCACCGATCACTTCACGTGCACCTCCGCCAATGTAATCTATTGCATAACTTGCACTTATTGCAAAAAGATATACATCGGCGAAACAGGCAGAAGACTAGGTGACCGATTCCGAGAACACCTTCGAGACGTGGAAAGGAATGACAAGGACACATCGAAACCAGTCGCTAGACATTTTAATTTACCTAATCATTCTAAGCAACATATGGCAATCTGCGGTCTTTCCTTACACTTAGGTAGCACGGAAAGCCGTAAAAATCTTGAACAAAAGCTCATCTTTCAAACCGGCAGTCTAAATCCCACAGGGATCAACGAACGCTTTTCATTCCACTAATTTATTCTTGTTTTTCTCGTTGCCATGTTCCCACCAATAACGTAGCTCCATTCTCTGCCTTTAAAAGCACACACAACCCACAATTCCTCTATTCGCTCCGACGAAGGGCTAACGCTCGAAACGTCAGCTTCTGGAGGGCTGGACAGAAAAATATTTGGCTCGAGATAATGACGTATGGATTGGGCACACATTCAGACCAAACTCAGTCAATAATCATTTTATCATATGACCAGTAATGTGTTAAAAATTCTAAAAATTTCAAAAAATGGAGAACGCAACAGACGAGCAGATACAAGACAAACACAAAGTATTCCATAATAAAACTTTTCCTTAACTTTTCTCGAGTCAGAACAAGAAAATCATAATTAATCGAAAAATTCTACTTATCTTCTCATTTCGCATTTTAAAGTTGTTGTTGTTGGCTTTTTTTTTCGTAACAAAGCCGTCGTATGGTTTTCTAGTAAAAATACGTGAACAGGACCGGACGAGTCGTATGATATAAAAAAAAACAATGAAAGTTTTCTATATGTAATTTTAGCATTGTAAGTGATTCAAATTTCGTAGTGTATGGGGTCTGCTACAAAAACAACTAATACGAAAAAGAAGAAAAATTTGGATCTTCATCGCCGTTTTCATATATCTAAGCCAAATCGTGAATTCAGTAGAATACACTCAGACACCTTAAGTTGATAACAATTAGTACCTTTGTAAGAGTGCGAGATCTATATCTGTGTGATTTCTTAACATTTTAACATCTTCATGAGAGGTTCCATATCCCTTTAATTTAGATATTCGACATTTCTCTTTGAGATTTTTAAGGTTAATCCTGCATACCTTTCGTCTTGGATCTACTGAATTGAAATCTGACTCATGAAATAACTCACAAGTTCGCTTGTAATAAATAGAGAAAGCTCAAGCAAAAAAGAGGTTTGTGTTTTCCGGCCCTAAGATTTTGCGCACGTTCAGACTTCGCTCGAGGTGAAAATCCTCAATTACAGTCGCATTCATACAATTACCAATACTTCTGCAAACCTTGTGTTGGCACCTTCGGAATTAACACTGTCACTCTTACATCTTTAATGGGTACCTCGTTGATCTTGCCACTTAACTGAAAATAGATAGCATCGCTGATTACGTTAGCTCATTACCCTTATGTCATCATCTCTAATAGCTCCTAGGGGTGAAATAGTTGAACCTCGACCATGTTCTTCACTTGGAGAATAAATGAATACCTATGAAGTTTAGGAAAGTCTTTACGACCGCTGATAATAACAAACATGAACTAATCGGGGCGGAAAGTAGTTAACATGACAACAAAGCTTTTAAAAATGTAAATGTTTGATGCAGAACACCAAAAATAAACCTCCTAGAAATGACTGTAAACAAACGTAAAAAAGATAGAGGGCAATTATTAATAAAATTTTGTAACATAGTTATCTGAAAAAACCCTTTGAGCATGGAGACAATGTCTCATTACCAAAGGTAAGGAATTCTACCCACTATGGGACACAGAGTTACCAAATGTACCCTTCGCTGTACTGTGTACCTTAATGGAGTAGTTAAACCTCGTACACTTGTCCCTTTCCAGTTGAATGATAAATTCATAGCCTTCCTGGAGTGAAAAAAAAAAGATGAATAGATAAATACATAGATATGCGTGTGTGTATGTCTATGTATTTGCGCATGCTCGCTAGTTTACTCTAGTTTTAGCACTCTGACATGGCTTAGACGACACCACAAATGTTGGGTCGTTTGGGGTGACCCTCTCGGTTCTCCTCCATCCCAGCATCAGCACTGGACTGATGAGGCCCAGAAGGCCGAAACAGTACTGTCTGCAGTTATATATATAGTAGTAGAAGCTTGTAAGGGGTCCCACAAACAATGCTGATCAGTCTCAAACGCGCTGCCTGGAGGATCACTGAAGCGATCGTGGGCTCTTGAAATAACGTAAATAAGAGCAGAAATGTAATGGTCAAGAGGCCAACTCCACTGTAGCTTTGTTGGTTAATTAGCTCGACGTTTCGACCGTCTCGGTCTTCCTCAGGAGCATACTAATTACATGAGCAATATTCAAATTTAAAATTCGTGTCAACAGTAAACATGTCATGACGTAATGATATAAAAATAGAATAGATAACAGCGAAACGTGTCATGGTGTCTAAAATAGATAAATTAAAGTAGTTATAATTCATGTAGTAAGCTTAGTGATAGTAGGATTGAGTCTTAATATCCAATAATTTTCTCTTGCTTTTCTGATTTCTTGATTTTGACTTCTAACTTTTTCAATAACCGTAAGTTCAAGATGGTCGACTCCACAGTTCTTAAAATGTCTAACAGAGGGTATGTTTTTATGTCCACCCTTGATGTCGCTACGGTGTTGATTGCCACGGTGGTGAATTGGGTGACCTGTCTCGCCTACGTACTGATCGTTACATTTGCTGTATTCTATCAGGTATATCACATTGCTAGTCTTGCATGACGTGTGTTGTCGCAGTGTTATCGTTTCTCCTGTAGTGCTGCTTTTAACTGACCCTGTAAATTGCCCGTATGTTTTGCAGCAGTTGCACCTTATGTCAGCCCTGCAGGGCCAGAATCCGGGACTAGTGGATTGCAATGGTTTCTGCTTTTTATGTTTATGAGAGAAATGAATTTTGAGATTTTTGTTAGTTTTGAATGATCGACCAAAGATTGTACAGGTAGTGTCAGATGGAATTTGAATGTGTGGATTGCTTATATCGTGTGGGGATTCATCAGTGGAGGGGGTTCTGTCAGCGGCTATCGGCGATCGCAGTCTTTCGCGGGTAAGCATCTGTGTTAAATTACGCCCTTTTCGATAGGCAACGAGAGGTGTTTCTTTGAATATGGCCTGTGTGTTGGACGAAAATTCATTTCTCTCATAAACGTAAAAAGCAGAAACCATTGCAATCCACTAGTCCCGGATTCTGGCCCTGTAGGGCTGACATAAGGTGCAACTGCTGCAAAACATACGGGCAATTTACAGGGTCAGTTAAAAGCAGCACTACAGGAGAAACGATAACACTGCGACAACACACGTCATGCAAGACTAGCAATGTGATATACCTGATAGAATGCAGCAAATGTAACGATCAGTTTCAATTCCACAATGAAGCTCAATTTTACCCTAGAACTTTCTTAAAACTCAAATGTGTTGGACTATGTCAAGAAAAACAGACGCACTCCGCTAGCTTACGGATTGTGATATTGTAAACATTTTCGCCATGGGAAATGGATGAGAATTTGAAACGAAAGCAGCGATAAAAACCAATCTGTACATGGCTAGCTTACTGTATTGATTTCCTGATCGAACACGATGCTAACTGCTAAAAATGTGCTTGGAATTTCGGAGTTAACCACAAGGTGCCTAATTAGATTATGTCGTGACGTAAATGCCGCTGTTGCGATTTTCACAAAGTTCAGCCTGGTTTTTCCGTGAAGAAATGAGAGGTCCCAGATAATTTCCACTTATCGTGAACTTAACCTGAACCGATTACGATTTATACCACATGGGGAAAATGTTAATTGAAAAATTGCTACTACATGTGATATTTGGATTTTGAAATACTGGTGATTTTCAAAAGCGTTCCGTGAGCTCCAAATGAAATGAAATGGTCCCGTTTTAGACTTAAACCAGACCTGAATCCTTCCTATAGAAATTTATAAAATTGGTACGAGCTTGCTTTCTTTTGCGCTTCTCATGAGCAAAGTTCATTTGACTCTATTCGTGGCAATGATTTCGGCCATTTTACGACTACCGACGCTCGTTTCAGTTTTCGTGAATTTTCTAGGATAAAGAAAAAGTCTGGGAAAAAACCTTATCACGTTTCTATGTTCACTTAAAGGTTTTTCTGGGTAAAATAAGTGTCGCGTTCCCGATGCCGCAGACACGTGGTGTTGTGCACCGGAGTTCGCCAGTATAACCACAGTGTTGAACTTTAGACAAGCAGCAGCATCAAACTCTTTATTCACTTAAGCTGGCAGTCTTTGTACAGCACAGGCGGTAAAAACTATAGAACGGATACATGAAGGTTCGAGATAAGGAAAACCGAAAGACTTCGAAACTAGAAATGATAAAAATGAGGAATATTACAAGCGTAACTTACATCGGATCTTGACTCCGGGGTAGAGAACTCCTAAACTTCGTTCGGCTCCGAAATGCTTTCGCTACAGTGACTCCTCGCAACTGAGCTACTTGCTTATAGAAGGCGAATTTAGTTCTTACACTTTGACGTACGGGAAATAGAAATGAACAGAGCTTTATGTAGCTAGCTTTGAGCGGATATTCGCTAGTCACGGAACAGAAATCAAACAAAGCGCGCTAACAAATTAAATAGAAAGTCATTGAAAGTTTCTTAGTGTCTTTGTGCTAAAAACGGAAGAGTTACATAAGTAAAAAAGGTTAGAGTTCGTATCCGTAAACGTGACAATAAGAAGATTTTCAATTTCGACCATGTGCCACATTCTTCGATTTGAGTCAACCAATTCACAAAGTCGCTCTTAAATGAGATCATATCCTTTTTTAACAGCGAAGTGTCAAATTAAACAGTACATGAATTTCATTAAATTTGCCAGAGTGCTCATGTAAGTTTTGTTTCACTGTATTGTTTTTCTATCGTATAATATGCTGATAAAATAGCTCTGTAAACCTTGTACAAGGCAAGTTAGCAGTTTCTAAAGTTGGCGGATCAGCTATTGAAGACTAAACGAACACAGGATTTGCGACGGGATGAGCTTCAGTATTAGAAGGTAAGTCAGATTCGTTGAAGAGGATAGCCGCACTTTCAACCTGAGGGACGTCACAGGTAAAATAGCGCTAGTCGATCGAAGAACCAGTTTTAACGGCGCTTCGATAATCAGACTGTGAAACGCCCGTCTCGTAGGTACGGTGTTGCCAGCGGAGACAACCATTGCATCGGAGACTTTCTTGACGGAGTCGAACTTGTTGTTTGCAGAAAGTGCACTTCGAAGACATCGTGGATGAATCGATCTCGGATTGAAACACTTGTGGCTGATTAAGCGAATATGAGTTACTCTTAACAGAGTGATCCATTAATACACAGCCACTGGATCGAAAATCGAACTTCGTAGAAAACGAGCGAGTTTTTGGAGGTTGATATTGTTTGTTTGCTTGTTTGTTTACTCGCTTGTTAATTAAAGAAAATGTCTCACCTCTAATTAGCATATGTTCACGCGTGGTTTTAAAGCTGTGAAAAACATCAATCTTTGTGCGTGGGTTTTAAAGGGTGAAATTACAAAAGAAAAAGAACTTTTCGCGGGGGTTTAAAGTTCTAACTGCGGTAAGGATAAAATGGTAGAGTAATGGTAAAAGTAAAGTTTTTAAGATGGAAACGTCAACTGTAGGGTATGTTGGGTTATCGCATGATGACAAATTAGGGCAAGTGTTCAAACGGGAAATTTGAATTGCACAACAAGACGAGGCGTATTTGCTGTTGCGTTCTCCTTACTTTGACGTTCTTTGACTTCTGTAATTTCCAACTATTTGTTTGTGGAACGAAGTGACTCTTTCTTGAAACGAACTGACTATTTTGTGGAAGGAAGTGAGCGCAAGATGGACCAAAGTGACTTGAAAAGAAGTAAATATATCAACTTTGTTGGATATATCAACTTTGTTGATATATCCAAATGACTTGGAACGAATTTACTTTGAACGAAGTGACTTGGAACGAAGTGACTTGGAACGAAGTGACCGGATACCGTCGCGTAGCCTACGTTGTTCTCTGTCTACATACTTAACCGCAGTTTTACATCTGTAGATCTAGGTGACTAATGCAGACGTTTTTCCAACTTTGGGAATTTTGAGAATTCAAAACTTTAAAACTTGTGTGTAAAAACGTTTCACGCTCGTTTGGGCTCATCCCAAGTACCAGAATCTTCACATGACAGTTTATGTTTCTCACAGTTTTTTCATTTTTTCTCAACGGGAAATAAATATGGTGGAACCTGTAGTTTATGGAGCAAAAAGGGAAATCGCTAGCCATCATAATGATAGATATCTGCGTGGGGAACGAGGTCACTATATTTTAAGTATAACTTGCAATTTTCTTTCAATCATACGTTCAAAACTGTGTTTTTTGGAACAAAATAAGAGCGATACGACAAAAAGGGGATTTCAAGACGTTGTTACCTCTACTAAAGTATTCTGTTTCAATCCAATCGCCCTTAACGATTAGCTTTTTCTGTGTTTTGTTTGTAATTTAGTTTTTCTATATTATTATGTGGCCTGTCACTGCGATAGGGTTGTAAATAATTACATACAATCATTTACAGCTAAAAGTAATCCGCTTGCAACAAATTCTCAATTTCCATGGTTACTCCCGTCTTTGATAATATAGATAATAGAAAGGGCCAAACAAAAAATGTTTATCTCACCTTGACCTCTTCTTCCCCGGTACACTCTTGAGGTATCTGAATGTTGTTCCATCTAATTGTGAATGTCTTATTGATACTCTGACATTTATCTTTTAAAGGCAAAGCCCACTCTAGAAGAATTTTGTGGTCAGTGTACTTTGCAGTGACGTTTATAAAAGAGCCTATTCACAGGAAGGAAATCAAAGTTTGAACAATATCAATGTAATTTAAAAGTTGGACAAATATAAAGAGATTTCCCATGTTTTTATCTTTATAGTAATGTATTGTACTGAAATACAATACATTTTTCCTCAACAGAAGTCTGTAACTTTATAACTATAGGCTCATTTTGTCAAAAGATGGAGATTGCGTATAGTGTGTGTCGTTAGATTTCTTTCCACTTCTCTCATATTTCTCCCATGTATGATGAGGAATATGGAGTTAGGGTTCAGCAGGAGAGTAATCAACACAGTGATGGAACATCGGGAAATTGAATACTCAACAATCCTGCATCGATTTTTTTCTAATCAATCTAAACCAAAAGTTGGCAGGTGAATTAAATGCACAGGGGAAACAAATGTTAATACAATTTTGAAATCTTTTGGCTTTAGAACTTTAATTTCAAATAAGACATAGCAGCAGTTGTATGTAGCTTGCAGAGCTATTTTTATCAACACATTATACAATAGAAAAACAAAACAATGAAACAAAACTTACATGAGCACTCTAGCAAGTTCATGTACTGTTTAAATTGACACTTTTCTGTAAAAAAGGAAATGATCTCATTTAACTTAACAAGTCAGAAAAGGGAAGTTATGCCTTAACTTTATGTCGATTAATGGGTATAATGTCTATGTAACGTATCAAAACCAAAACAAAAAACCTACAGTAGTGGTTGACTAAGACCCTGCGATCTAATAGGGTAAGAAAATTGAAAATTTCAACCTCAGCAATGAAACATCTATATGATAAATTAGAAAAGATGAAGATGCAAAACTCAGTGTTATTCTATATTCCAGTGGTATGACTCTGTTCAAAGCTTTTAAACCAATATATTCATTCTTCATTTCTCATTTACATCTGTCTTCCATTATTCAATTTCAGTTTTTACCACCCCACACAACATATCATGTAGCTAGTTATTAAGCAAATTACCTGGAACTCTCACACTTAAGTGTACTAAATTGTTGTCATTCTTATGATGTGATGGCATACTCTGTACTGTTATCTGGTATGTAGCTCCATATCTGATGTTTTTATGGAAGGTCCAGTATAATATTTCCTTCTACCGAAAAGAAACAATGATTAGCTCCCTAAATTTTTTTAAAGTCATTTACCATATTTAAAAACATCATTACGCATTCGCTTGGATGAATATTTTCAATTATTGCCTTAAGAAAATTTTTACAATATTTACGTAGCCAAGGGTTGTAGCTTTGAATATTTTTTTAGTTAAAGTTTTGCTTTTATCACTGTGTCAATGCCAGGACACTGCAATTTTTTTCTGATGAAGGGCTAACACTTAATTGAAACATCTGCTTTAGGAATTCCCTACCGTGGCCAATCTACATTATCAACTCAGTTGATAACATAAACTTATCTACGAAAATGAACACGTTGGTAGCACACTGTAGTCTTTTTTATTCATCTACAGTAAGTTCTTCTAAAAGGGGATTTGTATATTCGCTTTTTTGAGCATGTAACTGGGTAGGCAATAACTAGTTTATCTGATCCACAAAGTTTTTTACTTTTGTATTGATTTTTCTCTAGGGCGACCACCTCCCTTAAGCAACTTCTTATTGTATTAAACAGACCCTGTGAGGGTCACACAATACCTATGCAGGCCCCCCCGTACTGTTGTATACATTATAAGTTCTGACTATATTGAACACAAAGTATGCAAAGAGTTCTTGAAGTAGTTTATGTGCACCTCACTACCAAAAGTGTATCAGAATAGTGAACTAAAAGGAAGCAACTGCAGAGATAAAATGGACAGGTAAAAATACCTACCACAGTCAACTCATTGAATAACAATGGTGAACCTCAAACAACCCGAATTGAAATTCAGTTGAGATACCCTCAGTGCATTTCAAGAATTGTAAACTGTAGAGCTGAAATAAATCCCAGTGGAGTACAGAACTACACAAACAGTGACACATTAAAGCGACTCATTTGGCTTCATAGCGTCATCTTGGAGGGTTTACATTCAAATTGATTTTAGTTGTTACAATCAAAGAAAGATTTGCATCTGGCACCACATTTCTTAATCGGAAAAATAGTCACAATATTTCAGGACCGGGTCACAAAGCACAAGTCAAACAAAATTGGACTAAACAGCTAGTGCTTGCAATTGTAACTTAAATTTTGGTAAATTTGTTGAAAATATCTTGACCAGTGTTAATTGCCAGAAAGAAATCGGGAGCTATGTTAACATGTACAGATATAAGTTGAATGAAGTTTTATATAACTGATGATTTTGTAGTCTGCACATTTATGATGCATAGGTTTCCTACCAATATTGCTAAGTTTTTCTTTCCTAGATCGAGGTAATATTACAGTGGCGGATCCAGGGGGAGGGTCCGGGGGTTCAGGACCCCCCTATCAGACCTGACGCTTACAAATTTGAGACTGAAATTCTTACATCGACAGGATCGACTATCACTTTTTAACCGGCTGATTTTTTTAATGAATCCAAGTAAACGGTAAGCTGCCAAGGAATATAACGTGCAACCACGACTGGTGGGAGGGGGTGTGGGGGAGAAGTAATTTGCCTCGGTCCAACAGTCCTTTCTGAACCAAAGTTTGGACCCCCCCAATCAAAAATTCCTGGATCTGCCCCTGTATTACTCCCAACACAAAATGTGTGACTATGGCCGGTTGAGACAAAAGAAATTAATGACAGACTTGGGAGTCATTGCCGCAGGTCTTGTATTTGTTTTGAATTGCAGAACAGGTGGTATTGTTCAATTATGCTAGACAGTTCTGAAGAGTAGTCAGATTGTGTGCAATAGAGGACTAACACAGGACCCTTCCAGAACACCTCAACACATCATAGGTATATAGGTTAAGTAAGTAAAAATGGCTTTAAGTGCAATTTGGTGTAAACTGTTTTCAAAGTCACACCAAAATTTCAGAAGCCTTTGAGGCAAAAGCAATTTGCAGTCTAAAAATTTTACACATGCTTTTTTATACCAGATTACTCTAGAAGTCATGTTATCACTCAATCAGCATATCACAGAAAGTCAAGACAGACAAAATTTTGACAGAGTGCCTGCTGTTTGTAATTTGTATTTGTGTTACAACTTTCCACCCATGTTAAATAAAAAATACACTTGTTTTTAGCCATGTGTAATTTTTCATGTACACATTATTACTGTATTGATTCTAAACCAAAAGTGGGAAAGAGATAAATGAGTTGATTCCACTAGTTTTGGGTTCTGTTTACTTGAAACTGGATGGAGTATATACTTAGTGCTGGAGACATATGTATTCTTTCTTAGAAACAAAGTATTCTCATACCAAATAACTATATGTATACATCAATTTTTTTAAAAGGAAATCATGATTTAGGTGAGGTAAGCAACTTATTGATAGACCTGACCAGGAATGTAAAAGGTGAGCTTCAAACTTATTACCCCATCCCCAACCAAAACTAAAAGTAAAGATTTACAGTGCAGTTTACCTTTCTGTTTATCTGTGCACAGTCATTATGACCAGGATGTCCGCCTTTTCCAGTAATATATAACTGATAGCCCCATAAATCACCAAATCCTAGGAAATCACCACAACAAAGAGCATATCAATCACCACAAATAACCTTGAGCTAACTTCTAAAGTAGACAATGAAATAAGGCAATTCTGTTAAAGTTTTCTTTCTTTTTACAAAAAAAATTTACTTGTGGATAAAAGACCATCAAGTTTTAATCAGTGATAATTTTAAGTTCTAATCCAGTGTTAAAATGTCATATAATGTCATATAAACTGGGAAACCACTTCAGAGGTATTACAAGGGATGTACAAACAGTTAACACCAGTACATTACATTGATTGTACTGACAGAACATTAGTAACTTTAAATACGTACGGTGAACTTCCAACAGTGAAGTCTGATAAAATTTTATCACTCTGTGGCTTTACAATGCTAGTAGCTGGACAACCTGGGTAGTGGAAGGCTATTGGGGCTGACTTTTCTTTGATAAACAGACCAGAGATAGAGTGAGTTACCCTCCCTGATCCAATGTGCCACGCAAGTGTCTACGATGGGTGCTTCTGACTTCAAGCAATGCATATGGTTATAGCTATTTTGTTTGAAGTTTTGTTTTGGCTTCATCAGTTATAATGGAATGCTCAGTTGCTATTAAAAATTAAACAAGTCTTCAGAAATTCACTTTTAATCCTTGCATACAAACCACACACAAAAATACAAATACTAATACTAATATAGTGTTTCTGACCGCTTGCAGCCTAAGGCTGAATTACTGGTGCAGTTTAAGGTTGAGAACAGATGTCAGCATATCAGGCGCCTCTTCTGGCAGCCGCTTTAGTCCATCGATCTCACCTTCCCAGCCAGGGGAGGACAATCCATCACAGAGTAATCTCGTGTGTGGGAAATTAACGTCTCCTACCCCAACCCTGCAGGAGACAGGACCTCCATTTATTCGTCCCTATCCGAGAAGACTAGAATATCTAACCATTTCTTGATGTTATAGAAAGGCAGCAAATTCTTCTCAATTATTTTAAGACCCTGAGTGTTGGTCCGGCTGGGGCTCGAACCCTCGACCTCCCGCACAACAGTCCAGCACTCTATCCATCGAGCTAACCGGGAGGCAGTTATGTACAAGTTTTAATATTTGATGACTGAGTGTGACACAAGAAACTGGATTGGGTTACAGTTACAGTGTACGTATGTCCAAAAGGTTTGCCTTTGAGTTCTGTTATTGCCCTTATTATGACAAGAATTTTGTTCTGGTGCTTACATGAAGTATAGCCAATCTCAATGATAAAATGTAACCCCACATTTCTGGAGATCTTAAATGTCCAATTAATTATATAAAAAAAATGCCTCTAGTACCAAGGTGGAATCAGAGCATATTAAGACAGAAAAACAGATGATGGATTCATGCTCAAGTTCACATTGGTAAAATAATATCCCACACTCCCACAATGCTAGCATAATTGACATCTCTAAGGTGTCAGGTGCAGGAAAAAGACCATTCTAATTCCACTTGTACTGGATTTTATGACAAGCAATAAAGCAAAACACTGAATTCTGAGTAACATGAGTAACTTTAAGTAGCAATAAATAGCGCTATCTACTGCGAGGATCGTGCATCATACGAATTTAAGTACTGTTTGTTCATTAAAAGCTTTCTCCTTCCAGCTTAGTTCTTGGTGATGGCCTTGAGCTAAGAGCTCATTCAATTGTGATCCAAAAGTACATTTTCAGTTCTATTAAGGACCAAACTAAACCAAGACTTCAATCTGAACAACTTATTTCCAAACTTGGATTGCTCAGATTTGTTTCTCTTTTGACTTTCAGACGTTTCTTTTAGCTGAATCAGCCTGGATCCCCAATGTGGTTACAAAGAACATAGTTGACACAAGCAAAGAACATAGCAGTTCAAGATGGCTCATTCCCCCAGAAATCTCTAAGGTTGTTGAAGTTGAACGTGAGTGGTAAAAATAGGACATGAAAGTTGGAAATTTGCACCATAAAATCCATAAATGGCAGCTCTGTTGCAGGGCATAAAGCGTGGCCTTTAAATCTTGGTAGGCCTTGGTTCTCCTGCTGTAATTGTTTACAAAGTGTCTTGTGGATAGAACCTGGGGTTGAAAGTTGTGGTGTCTGTAACAGATTTTATTGATGCATTCTCGTTTGTGTTCTTTGGAACTATTTTTCATACTCCATTCAATTGGGGAGGGCATTTGACAAAAACAAATACACAGATATTTTGTACCTTGATTTTACCAAGGTTTTAGGCACAGGTGATGATGTCATTCTTATTGGAAAGCAGAAATGGTACAGTGTCACAGGTCGATCAACTGATAGATTGTTTTTCAGATTACCTAAAGGACAGATCACAGAGAGTTGTGAAGAATAGGACAAAACAGTTGGAATTTGTGTTTGATGGCACAGCCAGAAGTCTTGTAGGCCACTCTTCTTTGTACTGAATTTTTTTATCAATGATCTTCCTGATGCCATCCTAGGGCAAACCAGCATGCCTTGTATGCTGATGATACTAGGCTGCACTGTACTATTTTTAACAGACTGAGTGAAGGACTGTATTATTCTCCAGTAGGATCTGACACTGAAGTTTGAACATCTAGAGCCAAGGATCAAATATGAAGTTTAACACCTCCAAATGCAAAGTGTTAACAGTCATGTGAAAGAAAACACCTGTAACTATGGATTATCACCTTGGCAATGTAAACCTTCACTGCATTTAGGTAGAAATAAATCTTTGGTGTTACCATTCCTGGCAATCTATTGTGGGACTCTCACATTATGCGCATTGTCAAGGCTAACAGAATTAAATGTTGGGTCTCTTAAAGAGAACTTGTCCCATTATCACTGATATCAAAGTCAGGTAGTACTTCCACTAGACAGATGTATGGTCTTCTGCTACACCTTAGTGTAAATTTGAGAATGATCTTATCAACACCTCAGAACGATAAATTGACATGATATCTGGTTCCGATGATAAATTGTTCCGACTTCCCATTTTCAATTTAACTTCGAAACTTGACTTTCCACTTAAGTGCTAATGGTCTACTAACTACTCTGTTGTCACAAAATTTGAGTTTATGCTTATGAAATAGACACTTGAAAATAATCACACAATGTGCTCACTATACAGACAGTATCAGTCTGATGGAAAATCTTCTGAGCAGCCCAATGTTGCCTTATCAATCTAATGCTTAAAGGTGGTGATATCTTGCCCACTGCAAACAATACAATAATAACAATTCGCTCAATGTAAACAAAATATCATTAGGCAGCAGCAACATCTTGTTGGATGTAAGCAATATATATCAGGGAGGTAAAAATTATATATTGTTGAGCTGCAGCAATATATCGCTAAGCTCAACGATTTATTGCTCATGGAAATGGATAATTAATGAGGAACTCAATGATATATCAGCAAAATCCCTCACCTGATAAAACAATAGCCCTGCCAAGTATGGCCAATATATATCATTCCAACTGAAATATCGCTCAAATATTGCCAATATTTTGCAATGACAATGATATTTGGCAATAATCATTTGCATTACTTTTCCACAGTACTGTATTTTACCATAAGACACCACTTTAATATTGACATGCCTTAACCTGGTTTCTCTCCTGTAACTGCCCTAGCCCCTACTCTTACTTTCTATTTGACTGACTTAAATTGCACTTTACTGTGCACTATTAGTAATTACATTTATTTTAATTTTATTAAAATTTGAATTAAATAAGACATGGTTTGATGCTACTCTGGTTTAAGGATTTAATGAATGTAACCCCTTTTTTTCTGACAAGGTGTAAATTAGGGGGTCAGGTAGTAAGCTGCCATCATTATGATCTAAAGGAATGTTGATATAGTTGATATGCCAGACTTCCAATCAAAGGGGCAGGTGGTAAAGTTGATTATCCTATTTATTCTACTCCATGCAGTAACTGTGATCAAGAGTATATCGGACGGACCAAACATCAGAAAGAGCATCAAAAAGAGGGGTCTAGATCTTCCTTGGCAAAAAAGAAAATTCAGCTTTGTCGAAGCACACATAACTAACCATACAATTGGGTGGGATAATTCTAAAATTATCACCACTTATCAACATGTGAACTTTAATATAATTTTTATTTGTATCGTTTTTTAAAATTAGAATTTCGCCAGCAGGTTGTCCTGCGGTGTTTGTTTAGTTTTATGCGCGCGCTCATACGAGTGACGCCTGACTGTTTTCTCTCCATTGTGTGTCTTCCATCTTGTTTCGCCGTGTATAAATAAAGCGTATTCGTTGTGTAGTTCGCGTTACTTACTGGCGTGGTGGCAGCGGTTCAAAAACCCACCTACACTTTCAACACTAAGTCATCGAACTACTGGCAAAGGTCCAACAACGAGCCGGCCTTCGCTACGACCGGAAAAAGAGCTAAGTACAGTGTTCTCCTTCGAGATAATCATACATAGCCTGCAAGAATGGCAACTACACGTGCACCAAAGCAATGGTCTCTCACGAAATCAGAAACAATTACTTCATTTGAAGCCTGGCGACAGAATCTTCAATATATCCTGTCCCTCGACGCTAATTTTGCTTCCTTCTTAAGCGATGGTGTCTCTTGGCAAAAGAAAACTTCTGCAAACCCCACAAGANCAAAGAAGCCAATTCACCGTTAACCAGCTTCCCGTAGCAGATTACAACACTATACTTGCTAAGTACCAACAGCGTCTGAACAACCACTCATCCAGTGAGCATGCCAAGAATCCCAGAGGCCTCGCACCACCCGAACCCCAGATCAAAGTTGGCGATCTGGTCTATCTAGTGTCAGATCGGAACAAGCTCCACGCCCGAAACCGCTACCTCGTTACAGAGATAAACGACCCATGGTGTTTTGTCAAGAAGTTCTCCGGCTGTCAGTTGAGAGCTTCTTCTTACAAGGTCAAGCTGTCCGAATGCTACGTCGTCCCCACACAAGTCAACTCCCCCTCTTCTTGCGTAAATCAAGCAGATGATGAAGTCCACGATGAACAAGCGTCCGTTCCCGACCCCCCTCAACCACCGTTGGACATCACTCATCCGTTCGATGCCAACCCTGAATCCCTGGACACCTCCATCCCACTCCCTCAAGGCGACGGTGGAGAAACCCTGTCCGATCCTAAGGAACCTGAAGTTCCCAGAGCCCCGGTCGAACCCGACGTGTCCTACTCTAACCCTGACGAAAGCCGTGCGCAACCAGCCCCTCCAAGGCCCCAGCGGTCCCGTAAACCGCCATCGTACTTGAAAGACTATGTCATGTATTAGGGTCCTACCACTTTCAGCATTTATACTTTTGCAGAATTGCTGAGCCGTTGTTATTATAGTTCGTTCTCGTTAAGGAACGAAAAAGACGTTGCGCCAGCAGGTTGTCCTGCGGTGTTTGTTTAGTTTTATGCGCGTGCTCATACGAGTGACGCCTGACTGTTTTCTCTCCATTGTGTGTCTTCCATCTTGTTTCGCCGTGTATAAATAAAGCGTATTCGTTGTGTAGTTCGCGTTACTTACTGGCGTTTGGGTTGCACCTCCCATAGGATACTTTTCCTGTTTGCACAATCCTTTTTGGTCTTTTCATTTTCATTATATTTCATATGATGGCAGCTTACTTAACCTGACCTGAAATATTATCCTAATTAAGTAATTACATGGTTTAGTCAAATAGCTTTTGATCCAAATATGATTATTGCATGCTTTGATTTCAATTTGTTGTCGCAAACTTGAAAAATAGGCAGTATGAAGTGGTTGTTATGAAAACTAAGACCCAAGACCCCGAAAACTAAGACCCCCCGTCTTTTCATTGATTTTCACTTTTCCGGTGGGTCCTAGTTTTCGTAATTACGAAAGCTCATTATGAAAACTAAGACCCATCTTATTTTTCTTGTTTATCAATTGTATTTTATTTTATAAATAGAATATGTTGAAATGTAAAAAGTGAATAATAGACAGCAATTAACACTCCGTCTTTTCAATGATTTATCACTTCTCCGATGGGTCTTATTTTTCGTAATTACGAAACCTCATTACGAAAACTAAGACCCCATCTCATTTTTCTTTATATTTATCAATTTTTCGAAGGTGAGCTGGAGAGTTTATACATCATCTTGATTTACTGCTTTTCCGGTTGGATCGAAGAACCTGGTTGCTTTAAGATTAAGAGGGATTTTCTACAAAGTTTCCTTGCGTTTCGAAGTATTTTCTCACGCGACGCAGACACTGAGTTATTTTTAGAATTGTTTTGCAACTGTTTTGAATTGTTCTACAAAATGCAAAAATAATGGAACTTGAGGAAATTTTTTTAAATGGAACAGTTCAGACTTAATCAGGATTTTCCCACTTTATGAGTAGTGTCATTATAGTTGTAAAACGGAAAAACGTTTTTTATCACATTTCAGGTGGGATCTTAGTTTTTGTAATAACGAAAGCTAGTTACGAAAACTAGGACCCCATTTTATTTTTCTTGTTTATTTATTTTATTTTATGAGAATATGTTGAAATGTAAAAAGCGTACGAAAAGTAAATTGAATAATACACAGCAATTGTTTGGGTCGTTCAACAAGATGCAAAAATAGTGAAACTTGAGGAAATTTTTTAAATGGAACAGTTCAGAATTAATCAGGGTTTGCACACTTTATACTGTCGTTAAGCTGCTGTTACACGTAACATTTTTTCCTGCAACTTGTCTCGCAACAAAATTTGTTGCAAGTTGAAAATGACGCATAAAATTGCATAAGTTGAAAATGACGCATATGTCGACTACGGAGTGTGGCGAAACAAGTTGCAAGAGCCATACTAGAGGCATTTTTGTTGTGCAGCTTGAAAAAAATTGTTGCAGAAAGTAGAAAACGATTCAACTCTCTGTGCAACTTAAAAAAAAATTCAGTACCATAAAGGGGATGTTACACGCAAAAGTCGTGCATGCAACTTGCAACAATGTTTTTTTCGAAAACTAAGATCCCACCTGAAATGTGATTAAAAAACGTTTTCCGTTTTACAACTAATGACACTACTCATAAAGTGGGCCAACCCTGATTTTAATCAGGGTTGGCCCACTTTATGAGTAGTGACTTAAAAGTCTGAACTGTTCCATTTAAAAAAATTTCCTCAAGTTCCATTATTTTTGCATCTTGTAGAACGATTAAAAAATAGCTCAGTGTCTTGAAGGAAAATTAAGAATCACCCGTCATGCGAGAAAATACTTCGAAATGCAAGGAAAGGTTATAGGAAATCCCACTTAATCTTAAAGCAACCAGGTTCTTCGATCCAACCGAAAAAGCAACAAATCAAGATGATGTATGAACTCTCCTGCTCACCTTCAAAAAATTGATAAATATAAAGAAAAATGAGATGGGGTCTTAGTTTTCGTAATGAGGTTTCGTAATTACGAAAAATAAGACCCACCGGAGAAGTGATAAATCATTGAAAAGACAGGGTGTTAATTGCTGTCTATTATTCGCTTTTTACATTTCAACATATTCTATTCATTAAAATAAAATAAAATTGATTAACAAGAAAAATAAGATGGGGTCTTAGTTTTCGTAATCAGCTTTCGTAATTACGAAAACTAAGACTACCAGAAAAGTGAAAATCAATGAAAAGACCAAAGGTTTTAGTTTTCAGGGTCTTAGTTTTCATAACAACCACTATGAAGCTGCATGTGGCATTGAAAAGAGCTAGAGGTGTACAATGATGCTAGAGGTTAGTGTTGGAGATTTGTCTAACATACAAAATAGGAAACTTGCCACATCCCACATATTTTTGAGTACCCTGTTCCACAAGAGAAAGATGATTCAAGAATATAGTGACTAGTTAACACTCAACCAATAATCAAATGGTAAAAGTAATCATAATATTAACATCACTTACAGTAACACAGTGACTATAATTATAACAACAGTAATGGTAGTGATAATTTATGGTTATTTATTTATAGCTCAAGAACCTCATTGTTCCTCTATTACAGTCTATCTTCCTGGCTCCACTAATGATTAAACTATAATAAAAATATATTATTTCATTGAAATTGCATTTTTATGAGACTTTGTTTCATACAACAAGAAGTTTTACATTCTAATAGGATATATCTTTGTCCTGCCATTCCACCCTTCCATTAATCAGTTGAATAGGGTCACCCAATTAAACTCAAGGACCTCGCTTGCTTTGCACCTTTAGTGGCTCCAATCAGTCTAGTACTAACTGAAATGGTAAAATCATCCCTCTTCAAATAAAGAAAATATTTTTCAAATTTTCCAAAATGGACAGTTGAACCTAATAATTTAGAAATTTCTGTGCAAAAAAGTCTTCTTTTGAATTATATATGTGCCACTACAAAATTATTTTGAGATGTGGTGTCCGGCAAGAACTGAAAATACAATCTGTGGCATAATTTCGTGATTCAAACGGTAAAATGCTCCCTCTTTGAAAAAAAATTTTTCTCAAAGTTCTTTATAATCACACCATTGAATATATTTCTGCAATCAAAAGCTTGGTGTTCAAATGCACCATCATAATAATATAATTTAGATATGATTATCATTTTCTTTAGTAATCAGAAGCAAGAATAAGTAGCACCAGGAAACACTGGGTTACAACTGGGTCATGATCAGAATTCTGTTGTTACCCTAACTCCCTCACTCATCTCCACAACATATTGTGGCTTCACCTCCTATAGGAGGCAGTAGCCACAAACATGGAGTTCCATGATCTTCTTATTACATTAGATAGTTTTACAGGTGTTTTAACTTTTTAATGCAGTCAAACCTCCTTTTGTGACCTGCACCTCCTGTTAGCAACCACTTTTTCAAAATACCAACATCCCGTTGAGTGCATGGCTTCATCTGATCTTCTTGCATTGTGAGCTATGAAGGTGTCTAGAAGTAACTTCCATGTTCCTGAATGAGGAACACTTGTTCGCCCCCTGATGTACATGCCACTTAACCAACAAGGGTACAAACACCTGTCTCACTCAAAAAATTTTGTCAACCCTGACTGTGACACACATACAAATACCATTGCGGGCTGGTGGCTCTGGTCAAGAAAAAGATGAAGCCAATGTCTGGAACCCTCTTCTGGCATCTACCAAGTTACTTGCATAGGTGCAGAGCAGGGGGGCTCGGGGAGGCCATAGCCCATATAAAGAAATATTAATAGGGGCCCAGTCCCCCTCAGTTTGGCATAGAAAATATTGCTAGCACAGCATAAAAGTTGGCAAGATTTTAATCTTGTGATCTTTCCCAAATCCTTTTATCAGCATCATGGTTGGCGAAATACTGTAATACATTGTAAAACTTCTTTTGAAAAGCTCTGGCCTGGCGTGATAAGCTTTCTAACTGAAGCAGTTCTTTGTTAAACTAGAGAGTGTGTCCGTAGGCAATAAGACGTCGAGTTAATTTCGTCTGTGGGAACCCAGTTGAATGCTAAGCTAAAAGATTTAGAATGTGCCATAAAAAATGAAAGTTAACGTTGCAAATCATTTATGAACACACTCAAAACTGTAAAGATGCAAAGAGGTTTGCTTGTGCCAATGTACAATGCAAAGGGCATTTTGGAAAAATTGAGTAGGGGTATGCACATGGCAGGGTGAAAGATATAACCCCCCCCACATTTCAAAATGCTCTGCTGAAAGCATCACTGAGCAGTTTCTTCTGTAATGAATCAGTCATTACAAAAAAATGGTTCCTTTAAGAGCCACTAAACACCAAAAAGAAATAGACCTATAATTATTCAAACTTACACCCCTATCAATCAGGATGAGAACAAAATTTGTGGGGCTGAGTTGAGAAAGCAAGAAAAAACAAAGAAACACCATAATAAAGTGTTTACAGTTTATCCGCAACAAAAGCATACTAAGTCTGCAACAAAAGCCTTCTGTTGTAAAGTTAAGCATAGCGTGACAAAGTGTGATAAACAATTCTAAAGTAAGCTTTGATTGCATAATTACAACCGGAAATATGATTTATGCGTAACTCTTTGTTGTTAGAGTATCTGTGAAACTATTCCTACTGCGTGTCGCATGGAATATGGAAACTTGTACGTGTTTTCCGTCTAAATTAAAACACGTAGGAACACTAGTTGTGCAGGATTTACGAAAGTGTCCTCCCATATCTGTGAAATTGCGGATACGTGGTACTTAAGTTGTTTATTCCAAGGGAAACTCATTCTGTATTTTGTATCACGTATGATTTAGCTACCGTTATGTATATAAGAACCTTGATTCAAGCAATAAAGTAGATACGATTCAGTTGATTGTAAAGCAGTTGAGTGTCCTCCACCCCATGTGCGAGCTCGTGTTAAATCCAACGTTTGCCTAAGCATCTAAACAGCTCGATGCTAACTGACCCTCGGCCAAAATTATACTACACTTCTAAATCTAACTGAGTGGAGAATTACAAGGCATTTACTGATGTGGGCCTGTGAAATTTGGCCATGAGAAGACCTTAATTGGGGTACTGGAAAAATTTAGATAACTCCAAGCATCATGATCAACCATTTCTTAATGCTATAACAAGAGCACAAAAGATCCAGTAGAAGCAAACTACTCTGGGTTCCATAACATGTTGATCAAATACCATTCAGATTACAAAAGTTTACAAGCTAGGTCTTTGTCTTCAAAGTCAGCACTAGCAATAAGCAAAAGGAATCATGGCTGTACAGGTGACAAACTTGGTGGTTAAGCCCCAACAGGTACACAAATTAAGTAAGATGTGGCTTTAAATACTCCAAAAACTAACCCTTGGTCTGCAGACTATCTGTGGACCAGGTCGTGGGACTTTCTCAAGACCAGTCCACAGATTTCTCTAAAACACCCCCCCCCCCAAAATGTTAGACATGAATCTTTTTGAGGATATTTGTCTACATTTCAAAAAGGGTAATGGTACACTGAAATCTTTCCATCACCAATGTTGGTCAGCCAAGTTCTGTTTAATTACCTCACATAACGTTAATGTTCACCTAAAGTACATAAAATGTTTTAAAGTCCATGGAAATACCACTGTTAAGTGTATTGATTATACATGTACACGTATCTTATGGGGGGCCTCGACCGATGTATCAGTCGATATATCGGTCGATGCTCGGCCGACTATCGGTCGATGCTCGGCCGACTATCGGTCGATACTTGATTGAGTACAGGTCAATATATTGGTTGAGTATCGACCGATGTATCAACCGATACTCCTATCGGTCAATATACTTGGTGGTTCACCGATACTTGACCGATACTTGACCGACACTTGACCGATATTTCACCGATACTTTACATTAGTCAATACTCGACCAATGTAGCCTTATTTTGACCATCAAGGAACTCTATAGCTTTTGCCTAACACTTGCTGTTATTGTTGTTGTTGAAAACATTTTATTTTCTATGAAAAGCAAACATTAAAGTACTGGCAAAAATACGAGTTACTTCAGAAAATTTTTGACCTAACTCAATATTTCACCAACTTCAATTAAACTGGTGGCTAAAGGGTTAAAAAGACAATCGCTATTGAGTGGTCTCTTATGTTGGTCGATACTCAGCTGTTACTCCACTGAGTATAATTATAGAGAACTTAAAAGAGCAAATGGGACTGGCACTAGTCCGAGAATAATGCATTGGATGACGACAAAACGGTACCAATGAGCATTCAGATATTTGTTAACTAACGTTCCCTACTGGACGTTTAAGCTAACAAGACATTAATCGAGTATCGACCGATACTTGACCGATATACCACTGACAGTATCATGGTCGATATGTTGACCGACACCATGAGTATCATCAAGTGGACTATCGGTCAATACATCAGTCGAGGCCTCCAATAAGAAACATGATCCCATGTACCTATCTTAATTATTGACAACAACCTTAGTATAAGTTCTCAGGTCAGCACTTTCTACTTTAATAGGTTCAGTAAATGTCATACTCACAGTTAAATCATACTGTATTGGAAATACCTGCATGCTGTAAAATTACTATCAATAAACTCTTTCACTTCTATAGATATGACTTGTGTAACATGTTTGTTAATAAAGTTCAGTTAGCCTTTAGCAAGGAAAGAGAAACAGTCCCTTTGTGTCTGCATGACAACACCACAACCACATTCAATTTCATAGCTGCTAACCTGTATTGGGTGGTGTCCAGGTTACTTGAACGATGGGCATTCCTTCATAAAGATGATAAGAAACTCGAACATTTAATGGTTTTCCTGGGAATGATGGGCAATCTGGATGGGACAGCTTACTGAATGGCACACATGATGTGGCTGTAAAAGAGAGTGATTATATTGTGATCATATTTATTGCTGCAGTTTTCAAAGTATGTTTGCTTTTGTCTGTCTTATGTTACAAAGTTTCAGCACAGAGTGATATCCTATAAAACTATTTTAACTCTGATAAATTTCATTGCAGCTCTCAGTTTTGTGCCTAAAAGTTAAGATCTAACATAATTATCTTGACTGAACTAAACCATCTAAAGATACAGTTTGAGACAATGCTCTGCAAGATTGGATATTCAATAATCCTACAAATTCTACCCCCTTCTCAGTCTTGGAAATTTCTAACATGTCTGCTTAACTTTTTCTAATCCATTTTCACTGCATTACCGCAGTAGGGTAGGACTAGAACAGAACATACGCGATCCATGTGAGTAGTCCACCCATTAAATCCCACCCAACCCACCCCAGAGGAGGACATCCATCACACAGTAATCTCGTGCGTGGGAAATTAACGTCTCCTACCCCTAACCCTGTAGGAGACGGGACCTCCATTTCTTTGTCCCTATCCAAGAAGACTACAATATCTAACCATTTCTTGATGTTATAGGAAGGTAGCATATTCTTCTCAATTATTTTAAGACCTTGAGTGTTGGTCCGGCCAGGGCTTGAACCCTCGACCTCCTGCACAACAGTCCAGCGCTCTATCCATTGAGCTAACCAGGAGGCGGCTATCATTGACAGAGTCACATTTATGCTAAAATTTACAAACCCAGGTGTATAAAGAACTTGACAAACATTTTCAAGACAGTAAATGTCAAAATAAGTAAAGTTCATTACCCTGATCAATTTTTCTGCAACTTGCATCACATGAAGCTTGTCTGTACAGTAATAAATCTAGCTAGCATATTGTACTTAAAATGAATGTTTATGCATGCCCCGTAAATCATAACCATAATCCCAATAAAAGTATAGGCCTTTTTGTCCTGTTTTGCTTGTGCATGGTAATTACTATTGACTGACAATAACACAGTTGTGCTCTTGAGATTCAATGACTACAGAGTTTCAGTTCATATAATTTGCTGGTTTACAACATTACGTAATGAAAATTCAAAATACAATGGACAGTATTTTTTACAAAGTAATATAGAATTTCAAAGTCAATTTTAAAAACCATTGTTTTGCTCAATATTTCATTGTTAGAGTTGTGCTGTCCAATTTAACATCTTTGTACAATAGAGCATCTGAAAATGGCTGTCAGTTTGCATACATTTCAAAAATTCAAGAGCTTATGAATCACAAGGCAAACACGATTTATAAGCTTTCCCCCTGTTCTCCCAACATCACTCTACCACATTATAGAGCCCAAAAAAATTGTTCTGTTGCTTCAGTAGAGGTATGGTCTAAACACTGGTGCAACCTATCCACAGGTAAATAATATGCTATTTCGTTGATTATCAGAGTGTGGACAAAACGTGGGGTAGGCCTGATGGCCTAGGCCAATATGGTGTAGGCCATGGCCTACCTTGTGGCCTACCCTGTGGCCTACCCTGTGGCCTACCATGTGGCCTACCCTGTGGCCTACCCTGTGGCCTACCCTGTGGCCTACCCTGTGGCCTACCTACCCTGTGGCCCACCTACCCTGTGGCCTACCCTGGGGCCTACCCTATGGCCTACCCTATGGCCTACCAGTGGTCAGATTTTAAAAAACATAAAAAATAAAATCAGTAAGAGTCAAATGAGTATGCTGGCATACAATTCTATACCTCTAAAAAGGGTATACAAAAATGTCACTAACATGATTTTTAACGTCCAAGGGAACGAAACAATACAAATATTACAGCACTCAGCCTTGAAACATCCTAACTCTGTCTTCCCCACCCAAGCACTCAACCATAACGGTAGGTTAAGGGGGAGGGGAGAGGAAGGGCCAATATCGCATGGTCACTGAGGCTATCCAAAATGGCAGTTTCGCTATCCATATAGGCTGCCAGCTGGTAACATATAGTGGACTGCTAGACAGTGTAAAGATGTAATGAATGGCATTATAATGGATAGCATATCCAGGTAAGAAAATGCAAATAGTATGTGCCAGGCCACTTTTTCAAATGCCTCTTTAGTGCTGTAGAGTATTGAATTTGCAACAAGCACCCCAGGACATACAAAACAACTGCTAGTTGACCACTGGTTTTTAAAAATTTTCCTCATTCTAGCTGTCACGTAATAATGCGAGTGCAGAGAGAGGGCTAGTTTTGCACTAGTTTGAAGGGAGAGCTGATATGATGATGTTTGCCCAAAAGTTGTGTTTAACCAGTTTCTGTTCCTCGATTTCCATGTTCTATCAGAAGGTTAAGAAATTTTGATCGGAATGTGGCTGCCAAAACAGCAGAAGAAACTCATTGGTAAGAGAGTCCCCAGGAAAATGTTAAAAGGTTTGCAGCAATGCTATGCTTTTAAGGCCATAGGATAATTAAGCCATACGGTAGGCCACAGGGTAGGCCATAGCCTACACCATGGCCTAGATCAGGGCCTACCCAACGTTTTGTCCACACCCGATTATCATCATATTTTCACTGTGTGATTATTATATGTATCATAAAAAACTTGTCTTCCTGAAAAACTTTTTAATACCTATTCTAAAGGACAACACTTCTCTTACCTTTTTCCTCAAGCGGCACTCCACAAGGTTCTTCCAAGAAAACAAAAAAGAATGCTGTCAGCAAATGACACAATGAGAACAAATTTCTTGCTACTAGCAAAAGAAGATGTAGTTTCAACTGTTCTGGATTTCAAAAGTTGAAACTTAACATTAGATTCTGTTAATGCTGGAAAATTTCAGTCTATTGATTACTTACTGCATTAACAAAGAACCAAGTTTTTTTGGAAAAATCCATTTTTCGGGATTAAGCAATCAAATAGGTCTATTTAATGTAAAATCAGGTGAAAAAGTTAGGGTTAGGGTATATTTTAGGGTTAGGGTTAAATTAAGTTAAATTCTCTACTTTTATAATTTATATATTTTATAATAAATAGCATCATTGTGACAGCCTCCGTTGCCCTGTGATGTCCATGGAATTGTCTGCTTTACTGGTGCAGCAAGAGATTATGGGAATGCAAGTTAATTTAGTCAGAATCACAGGATTAAGGATGCTACTGGGAAACCTCGTACATGTATGTATACACTCAATTGCAGAGACGTTATACTGCTGATGGTCTCCATTCATCCACCACATGCAACACTTTTTAGGTGTCAGTGTTTTGGCAATTGAATGTTGTATAAATGTAGCCATTCTTTAAATTTCGCTATTCAAAAATAAAAAATTAGTAACATAATATGTTGCTGACAAAAAGTTGCTGACAGAGCTAAAAAATAATAAAAACAAATAAAAGGTACATAATGCTGTGGTTGAATTTTTTTCTTTAAGTTAGTTTTACTTGTTACCAAGTAAATATTATTTTCATAACTAGGCAAATTTTTTTAACTCGGTAATTTTTTCAGTCAACTATCTAAAAAAGGGATTTTATTTATTGGCATGGTAAAAAGATAGGGGCATGGTTTTTTGTGCCGGGGTTCTTGAAAAAGTACAAAACAAAAAAAATTTTTATAGAAACTTGTCACTCGATCCCCTCCCCATTTTCTCTCATTTTGCACCCCCCTGACCACATTTCCTTATCCAACCTTCCCCTATCACGCTACCATTATCAGTATCGCACCAACAAGTAAATCTATGTTTAATTTCATTATTCATTTTTGAGTTTTAAATTTAATCAGTTTTGAATCACCAACCTCTGGATTCACAGTCCACCTTCTTATCCATGCACTTGACCACCAGTAATTCACTTGATCAATTGCTCATATTTCTCAATATCATTAATTTTTGGCCACAGGCCCACCTTGGCCAAAGTCCTAACTAATGCAAAACTGGAGCATGCTCATCAGTTGTGTCCAAATTGGACTTAAAGCACGGCTTTGTGTGTTGATAAAGGACAATTTGCTAAAAAACTAGAAGCACTTAAACAATCAAAAAAGGGAGACAGTAAATTTACTGTATTTATTGATGGCGAGCTTTCTAAGAATGCCAAGAAGTGGCTTCAAATTCAAAGAAGAATCATGAAGAATTTGGTATATCAAAGCTGGAAGGTAAAGTAATCGAAAGAAAGTAGTGAACATTATCAAACAGATTTCCAGTTTAATGCATGTTACAAAAGGACTGACATTGATTAAAGGATCGTTATTTTTTTCACTGAGGCAAATTATTACAAACGATGTATTTGACATAGACCTTACACTGACCCTGACCCTAACCCTAAATCTAAACCTCAAACTGTAACACTGAGGCTTAATCACAAACCCAGAATGCAATTCAATTTGATATGAGGTGATGATCCACCCTGACCCAAACTGACCTCTCACCTTAAAACAGTAAAACTTAACTGAGGGGGGGGGGGGAATTAAACCAAGTTAAAAAAAAAATTACCTAGTTAAAAAAATGTACCTAGTTAAAAATAAAATTGACTAATGTAGTTAAAAAAATTAAACTAAAAGTAAAAATCACCTGCAACAAATACATAATATGTGTGAGGTTCCCATTAGCGACGTCTTTTATCCCAAAATTCTGACTAAATTTTATTCACATTCCCATGTTTTGTTTCAATATTGCAACATATTTGAGAGCCAGTGTTTAATAGATGTGATCCACTATGTGTACATACATTACACAAAGGAAGATTAATATCACCTTTGATGTGCAGCAGCCACCACCTAAGAACTGTACCATTTAGTACAAATGAATACGTCCCTGAATCCTGAACATCCACTTTCTTGATCTCCAACCAAAACTTGGTCTTATTCCTGTTGATTCCAAGAGAAATCCTGTCTGTTCTTGAGATATTGGAGGTATCTTTTTTCCAATATGAAGACTTCAAAGCACTGTCAAAGTCAAGGTCCTTTGATTTATAAGTCATTCGTGCTGACTCACCAATCACACGACTAAGTTGGATAGTCTTAGGGGAACTTTCCTGTAGAGAGAAGGGAAACTGTAATTAAAATCTACCTGACAGTGTGTCCTTACCAAAATTAAGTATGCTTTTAGTATACTAGTTCTGTAATCAAAGTGTACTGCAAAAAAGATAAACAAAGTATACTTTCAGTAGACTTGAAGTATAGTTTACAGAGCTACTAAAAGTATACTTGTAATATACTTGTTCCCACCTGAAATTGGAACACCCAAAAGTATACTTGAAAGGTACTGAAAATTTTGCAGTGCACTTCAAGCATACCTCACGAGTAAAACCCCTAGTGGAAAACTGACTAGAATGTATTCAAGATATTATGAATGAATGGCAGTATACTTAAAGTGTACTTCCCTTGCAAACTGGATCTTGGAATTCCCAAAAAAACCTAGAAATTCCCAAAAGAACCTAGAAATTCCCAAAAACTCCATGTTTATAGCGAACAGGAATAAGAATTCCAAGGAATTCCTGGGAATTCCAAGGAATATTCCTAAGAATTCTTAGGAATTCCAACTCAGAGCACCAATGACTTCCCTGAAATACTGTGAATCTAAAAACTTGCTGGAAATTCCTAGGAATTTCTAGCAATGTTTAAGAATTACTGGGAACTTTAGGAAAACCTCAAGGCAACTAATATCAAATAAATACATGCATTAACTCCCAACTAAAAATTCAAGTTGTCAATGAAATTTATTTACATGCACCGTCAGTGTGAAATACTTATTTATGCCCTTATTTCGTCAAAGTTGGATTATTGTAACGTTCTTCTATCTGGCCTACAGCAGTCACAAATTAATAGACTATACAACATGTACAACATTCAGCTGCCCGCCTGCTCACAGCCACCAGCAGATATGATCACATTACGCCTACACTTAGAAGCCTTCATTGGCTGCCTGTGTCTGCCCATATTGATTTTAAGACACTTCTTCTCGTTTTAAAGTATTAAATAGTCTGAGTCCTCTGTATCTTAGTGAACTGTTAAGACCGTACATTCCTAATAGAAACCCAAGATATTCTAAGAAAAAACTCTTAATGGTACCTAAATGCAATCTTAAAATATATGAATACATATAGAGCATTCTCTCCTGGAGCTCTTACTCTGTGGAATGCCTTGCTGGATGATATTTGACAAGTGGACCTTTTGACAACATTTAAGTCTAAACTGTAAAACCCATTTATTTAGGCAGTTGTAGTTTTTGCTTTGATTGAGTTTTCACTAGTCTTTTATTTCACTTTAATTCTTAATTGACTACATTTTTCTTTCACTATTATTGTAAAGCACCGCTGGATCTTTGAGAAGCGCTGCACTATATAAGCTATGTATTATTATTATTTTATAACTCAGGTTTACATGTTTACCCCCATCTACCCTAGGTAAACCATGTTCTACCATGTTTACCCCCATCTGCCCTTCGTTAGCCATGTTCTACCACGTCAACACTCATCTACCCTAGGTAATCCATGTTCTACCGCGTTTACCCCCATCTACCGTCATTTACTCATGTTCTACCCAGTTTACCCCCATCTACCCTTGATTAACCATGTTCTACCACGTTGACCCTCATCTACCCTAGGTAACCCATGTTCTACCACGTTCACCCTCATCTACCCTAGGTAACCCATGTTCTACCACGTTTACCCCCATCTACCCTAGGTAACCCATGTTCTACCACGTTCACCCTCATCTACCCAAGGTAACCCATGTTCTACCACGTTTACCCCCATCTACCCTCATTTACTCGTGTACTACCCAGTTTACCCCCATTTACCCTTGATTAACCATGTTCTAGCACGTTCACCCTCATCTACCCTAGGTAACCCATGTTCTACCGGGTTAATGACATTTGTGACAGGCTGTACGCATGAATAAATATTTGATTGATCTGCATTTAGTGGGTTTTGGCTTTTTTTCACGAGGAACGAAAATTTAGTGGTGAACAATAAAGACAATAGAGTGTTTATTGGTCAGATAGTTGCCCCTTGGAAATTTGATCTTCTTTAAAATAGCATATTTGCCCTGGGATAGTGACTTTTGAACGTATTTTTGTGACCTGATTAGAAAGACATTGTTATTGAAGGGTGAAAATGGTCGATTTCGCATTTACTTAAATAAGATTTAAGAAATAAAAGGAGGCAAAAGTCCTCGGTCAAATACTGATTTGAAATGGTTAAATGTATTTTGTGACATGAAAGGCATCACGTTTTCTCCGCAGGGTGAAAATAGTTGATTTCAAAAAATAGTAACTCTTCTTATCTTACTACTTTGCAAGATGAATTAAAGTCCTTCTCATTAATTGAAGATTACTCCAAAATCCTCGTGAAAGTTACCTTTAACTTATTAGAAAATATATCCGCATTATTCTTTTAATTTCATTACATCTCGCCTGGTTTCGTTTCGTTTCGTTTCGCAAAATATTGTACTAGTAAGCCGTCGATTTGTTGTTCAATATGCTTGTAAATCCATGGGTTTTTTTTAACAATTACAAAAATTTACCAGAATATACAGTACCGCCTGAGAAATGATAGATCTGGTTTACAGTTCTGATTGGTGGCAAATGTCCTCTGTTAAAAAGAAAAACAGATCTGGCCGGCTTTTAATAGTGACCCGTAGTTAAATAGTTTTGTTGTATTAGGTCATACTTTGGAGAATGGCCTACCTAGGGTAGAGGAGGGTAAACCTGGTAGAACATGGCTAATCAAGGGTAGATGGGGGTAAATGGGGTAGAACATGGGTTACCTAGGGTAGATAAGGGTGAACATAGTGAAGCATGGCTAACCAAGGGTAGATGAGGGTAAGTGAGGTAGAAAATGGGTTACCTAGAGTAGATAAGGGTGAACATGGTGAAACATGTCTAACCAAGGGTAGATGAGGGTAAGCGGGGTAGAACATGGGTTACCTAGGGTAGATAAGGGTGAATGTGGTGAAACATGGCTAACGAAGGGTAGATGGGGGTAAGAGAGGTAGAATGTAGGTTACCTAGGGTAGATAAGGGTGAACATGGTGAAACATGGCTAACCAAAGGTAGATGAGGGTAAGCGAGGTAGAACGGGTTACCTAGGCTAGATAAGGGTGAACATGGTGAAACATGGCTAATGAAGGGTAGATAGGGGTAAGAGAGGTAGAATGTAGGTTACCTAGGGTAGATGAGGGTGAACGTGGTAGGACATGGCTAACCAAGGGTAGATGGTGGTAAACGTGGTAGAACATGGGTTTCATAGGGTAGATGAGGGTGAATGAGGTAGAACATGGCTAACCTAGGGTAGATGGGGGTAAACGTGGTGGAACATGGCTAACCTAGGGTAGATGGGGGTAAATGTGGTAGAACATGGCTTACCTAGGGTAGATGAGGGTGAACGTGGTAGAACATAGGTTACCAAGGGTAGATGAGGGTAAACGGGGTAGAACATGGGTTACCTACGGTAGATGAGGGTAACTGTGGTAGAACATGGGTTACCTACGGTAGATGAGGATGAAGGTGGTAGATCATGGCTAACCGAGGATAGATGGTGGTAGACGGGGTAGAACATGGGTTACATAGGGTAGATGGGGGTAAACATTGTAGAACATGGGTTGCCTAGGGTAGATGAGGGTGAACGTGGTAGAACATGGCTAACCAAGGGTAGTTGGGGGTAAACGGGGTAGAGCATGGGTTACCTAGGGTAGATGAGGGTAAACGGGGTAGAACATAGGTTACCTAGGGTAGATGGGGATAAACGTGGTAGAACATGGGTTACCTTGGGTTGATGAGGGTGAACGAGGTAGAACGTGGCTAACCTAGGGTAGATGAGGGTAAACGTGGTGGAACATGGCTAACCCAGGGTAGATGGGGGTAAATGGGGTAGAACATAGGCTACCTAGGGTAGATGGGGGTAAACGTGGTAGAACACGGCTAACCAAGGGTAGTTGGGGGTAAACGGGGTAGAGCATGGGTTACCTAGGGTAGATGAGGGTAAACGGGGTAGAACATAGGTTACCTAGGGTAGATGGGGATAAACGTGGTAGAACATGGGTTACCTTGGGTTGATGAGGGTGAACGAGGTAGAACGTGGCTAACCTAGGGTAGATGAGGGTAAACGTGGTGGAACATGGCTAACCCAGGGTAGATGGGGGTAAATGGGGTAGAACATAGGCTACCTAGGGTAGATGGGGGTAAACGTGGTAGAACACGGCTAACCAAGGGTAGTTGGGGGTAAACGGGGTAGAGCATGGGTTACCTAGGGTAGATGAGGGTAAACGGGGTAGAACATAGGTTACCTAGGGTAGATGGGGATAAACGTGGTAGAACATGGGTTACCTTGGGTTGATGAGGGTGAACGAGGTAGAACGTGGCTAACCTAGGGTAGATGAGGGTAAACGTGGTGGAACATGGCTAACCCAGGGTAGATGGGGGTAAATGGGGTAGAACATAGGCTACCTAGGGTAGATGGGGGTAAACGTGGTAGAACACGGCTAACCAAGGGTAGTTGGGGGTAAACGGGGTAGAGCATGGGTTACCTAGGGTAGATGAGGGTAAACGGGGTAGAACATAGGTTACCTAGGGTAGATGGGGATAAACGTGGTAGAACATGGGTTACCTTGGGTTGATGAGGGTGAACGAGGTAGAACGTGGCTAACCTAGGGTAGATGAGGGTAAACGTGGTGGAACATGGCTAACCCAGGGTAGATGGGGGTAAATGGGGTAGAACATAGGCTACCTAGGGTAGATGGGGGTAAACGTGGTAGAACACGGCTAACCAAGGGTAGTTGGGGGTAAACGGGGTAGAGCATGGGTTACCTAGGGTAGATGAGGGTAAACGGGGTAGAACATAGGTTACCTAGGGTAGATGGGGATAAACGTGGTAGAACATGGGTTACCTTGGGTTGATGAGGGTGAACGAGGTAGAACGTGGCTAACCTAGGGTAGATGAGGGTAAACGTGGTGGAACATGGCTAACCCAGGGTAGATGGGGGTAAATGGGGTAGAACATAGGCTACCTAGGGTAGATGGGGGTAAACGTGGTAG